TATTCATTCATAAACGATGAGACAAAAATATCGTTCTAGCTTTTACAATGACGACGCAATTTTAGCAAATGATTGGAAACTTGGTCAGGTTAGTGACGTTAGTGAAAATATTTCGAGGTACGTCATCCAATGAACCCAATTATAATGGGCCGACCAAATATAACATGCTGCATAGAAGCTACGTTTGATTTTACAATATTAAATAATGATAAAAAGTAAAAATCGCCAAAATTTTGAAAACCCAGTTTTATATTATCATAAAAAAGGCAACAAAATATGACTAGCAATACATCAGCAACAACTACATTGACATTGCAAAGACTAACATTGACATTGAAAAAATTGAAAATGACATTGAAAAGACATTGTTGAGAAAACATTTGGCATTACATTATGATTAATTTAAGCAAAACACCTACGAAAACATTTCTATACAGACAGTTTCTAAAAGTGAAAAAATTATGACTTATTGCAAATTTGCTGTAAAATCAAATTTTTTATTTTAAAAAATACACAGGGCTATAAAATTAAATTTCAACTCAGTTGTTGAGATTGAGGGTAAAGGATAAAACAATTTTATTTAAAAAAAATGGAAAATTATTGGGGATATAAACCTGATGTAGAATGCATTGATTCAACGACAGTGAACCTTATATAACGTTAATGAACATAAAGTACTAATATATAACCAGAACAAAAAAATTTTAGGTGAAATATCTCTGGCTGATTAAGTAACGCGAGGGTATTTTCGTATTTTAAGATCAACTAATTATAAAAACCATGCTACACCACACACACACACACACACACACACACAAACACACACACACACACACACACACACTACGCATACACACACACACATATACACACACACAAGTAGTGTTAAAGGCGTTTATTGAATTTATCACGGCTAATCTCGATGTCCAGGAATTGGCGAATTAATTTATTTCATAAATATAAAATATTTTATAGATTTATTCTATAAATAAATTTTGAAAAAATATTATATAACATTTATAATAATTATTGTTGTTGTTTATTTATAATAAAAATAATAACTACGGTATTATTTATATTATCAATATTAATACCCTTGTATTAATTAAGACGACGAATGTCTAGAAGAAAATTGGTTATTCAATTCATGGCCTAGATTGTAAATAAAATTTGCCAAAAATTATTTAGAATCGTACAACAGTTTTTACCCTAAATCGATTTGAAGTGCATCCTTTTTATATTTCAAAGTCATCCAAATTATTCACCATCCATATAATGCACAATCTATATAATGAACCAACCATATAATGCACCATCCATATAATTCACCTCACACGTAATTCACCATTCACATCCACACAACTCATCCATTACAAAAATCAGCACGCACACGAAAATACAACTGCCGCGTTAATTGAAAGCAACTAAATCAAATGTGCCAACAAAGAGAATACATTCGAAATAAAAATTAAGATTTACGAGTTTAGTTATATGTTAATAAATTATATATTGAAAAATACAAGAAAGTTATAATCTTCAAAGATGTAAATTATTATTGTGAGCTGCCATTCTTTAATAATAAATAATTTAATTTTTTTTACATAAAAACTTCCTGATTTATTCCATTTATTTTTAGGTTTCTCAATCAAAAGCCATGTTCATGTCAGGCAGTACAAAATAAAAAAAACATTTATAACAAATCCATTTGTAAAATTTTAGGTTAATTAATTAATTAATTCATTCATTTGTTCATTTATTCATTCGTTCGTTCGTTCGTTCATTCATTCATTCATTCATTCATTCATTCATTCATTCATTCATTCATTCATTCATTCGTTCATTCATTCGTTCATTCATTCATTCATTCTTTCGTTCGTTCTTTCATTCATTTGTTCGTTCGCTCGTTCGTTTGTTCGTTCGTTCATTCATTCATTCATTCATTAATTCATTCATTCATTCATTCATTCATTCATATCCATCCATTCATCCATCCATTCATTCATTCATTCAGGAAATAAGTGATAGCGTTGGAAGAAATTTACTCAACCCACACAAACAATGATGAATTCTTATGCCAGCTTCACCGTAACAACAACTTTCATAAAAAAAAAATAATTTAGTACACAAATTTATAATTAATGACGCAATAAATTTTAAAAATAATAAAAAACAAAAGAAATAACACACACTGTAACAATAACAACACACTAGAGATTAACACTAACAAAAACATGAAAGCAGGAAAGTAAACATAAACTTCAACATTTCTATTATTTTATAGCTATTAATTGTTTGAATTTCGGTCCGAATGAATGGTTACTACATTGCAAATTAATTAGAGCAACACAACAAAATGTTTGTTGATGTGAAATGATTGAACATTCTGAACTGAATCGCGTTCATTGTTTGGTTGTATTGATGATAATAAGCATAATGTTTTTTTTCAATCTGCAATATTCACAATATTAGCTCATTATAAATACAAGTTAATCATCAACAAATTTGAATCATAATAAAAATTATGAATCACAAAAACATTGAACATAAATCACTAGATTCATAACTTTATAGTTTAAGATTTCTAATGTTTTTTGTCATACTTATGTTCCTTGACATAGTGGAAAGTTTTTTCCTCTGTTTGACCTAGCTTTCCAAAAAGGATGTGAATGGCTGATATCATCTGACTCCAGGAGCATCTTTCGCAATGCTCATTTCCCAGCTGTCTCTTATCTGCTCTCAGGCCTCGCTGCTACGCTTTTAATAATTAAATCTCTTTTTGAATGTTTTAAAAGTATATGTTTAATCCATCATCACTTATGACTTTATAACCTATTTTTTGTTTTATTTTTTTAGAATTTTGCTTTTTTTACTTCTGTTTGTCCTTGAAAAATATATTTCTGTAAGATCATTTGATTTTTAATAAAATGTTTTTTTTTCATGTTGATTGCATTTTATTGGAGAAACTAAAATACTAATTTGTTGCTTCAGAGTTTTTCTAAAATATTTTTTGAAAAATAAAATTTCAAATTATTCTATTTTATCAACAAAGTGACGCAGATATCCTTCTTAATTTGTACATACACGAACACTAGTGAAGTAATGAATTTGAGTTTGCAAAGCTGGGTGCAGCTAAACAATACTTCAATCTACAACTAAACTCAAATCATCGCGTGTTATCGGTGCTTAGTTTGTTTTTAATGTTATCCTTACAGCCACAATTACAAATTATTGTAAATCCCATTGTTAGTACATTTATTATTATTATCCCTCAAAAATTACATTGTCATATCGTCATAGGTAATTAATACTACTACTGATAATGATAAAAATAATAATTATTATCATTATTATTATCAGTATTATCATCACGATTATGATACATCAGCACCACATCACAATGAACTTTCATTATCGACCTCAACGTAAATGTTGGCAAACAAAATTTCATTTTTTTTTTCATGACAACTCAATCATAACAATAATAAGAGGATTATTAATTATTATTATTAACATCATCATCGTCGTCATCATCACCATCACCACATTCACGCCATAATATTTGTTCAAAACATTCATTAGATGTTTTACTTTTTTCACACAGCAATAAATTGGCCTATTTAGCGACCTGACAGGATTAAACGTTGAAATGAAAGCATGAATGTTCAGCGACACAAGTTGCGACACAAGTTGCGACACAAGTTGCGACACAAGTTGCTAAATAAAGCGTACATTTAATTTTGTATTTCGTGTGAACAGAAAGTAAGCTATGCACGAACCAATCTAGAGATTATGACGTTGTCAGTCAGTGTGGCACAGTTTACTTACTAATAAACGTTTTAAATATTATTGTTTTTGTTAAAAATCGTCGTACATATTAATGTTATTTTTGTATTAATTTTTTTTTAAATTTAAAAAATATTTTTTCATTTAGAAAAAATACAATGCGGTTTCATCTCCATGGTTGCTGTGTATATTTAAAATGATAATGATAATTTTAAATGATAATAGTTTTAACGATCCTGATGATGAACGATGATGATGAGGATCACCAAGATTTTTATAATAAATTTCATGCCACGAATGAAAAAACAATTTTAAAATGCTTAATATGAAAATAGATTTTAATGGAAAATAGACAAACGGGCGGATGGTCATAAAACCCGGATCAAACATCCATACTTGTTGTAAAGTAAATCCGACCCTTCATCAACTTAATTTTTGGGTTGATTTCGCATACCATGTTGGAAGATTTTCCACCTATGCTGCGATCCCGTCCGAGGTCGAATGATGATTTATGATGATCGATCACCTAAGACCATCAGATGTTTGCCTCACTTATAATGTGTAACTGTACAATTTAAAGATGATGATACTGTGTTTCTGAAACAACTCAAAATTTGTTCATACAAAGCTATTTCATTGACAGATTTTTTATACTGACCTTGGAAAAAACCCGGCAGTTAATGTTGAATTAGTTCCTGAAACATAGTAGTAGGAATGTAACTGAACTAACTATTAGTAATGCGGCCAAAAATGATTTATCCTAACACCGTTTATAACATACATATTGTATTTTTTTTTAAATTTTACTAATTTTTCTTGTCTTTTTTTGCCTTCTTATAAAATTCGTATTTTTTTTAATTTTTATTTTATTGAAATTTTTAATCAACTTTATCAGGGAAGACGCATTAACATACAGTGGCGGATTTAGAGGTGGCCTCCGACGTGAGCAAAAAGTTCAGTGAAATTTATTATTTCAACAGAAAAACATCGTTTTTTGTTGAAAATGGACAAAAAAACGGAAGTGATCCGCAAAAAATATCCTACCACAAACGTTGGCACCGTCCCAAGTTAAACATTTTAAAAATTTTGGCGTTCCCCGTCAAAGTTGTCCAGATCCACCATATATTAATTAACTTCAGTATTTATTTTTTTAGATAATTTAATTTATATACCAACGTTGTTATCATTTATCATTGTAATTAATTTTTAATTCTTATTTATAAACAGTTCTGTTTAATATTCACAGTTGCTGATCTGCAATATGAATCAGGCTCTGATGCGTCATTGCTCTCACCCATATGGTCACCATCATCATCGTCAAGGTCATCACCATCGTCATCATCATTATTTAAATACTGCTCTGCCCAAACATTGACTGGTTTTCTGTTTGGTGGATATATAAAACTGATTGGAACATGTTGGAGTGATACTTTGGAATAATTTTCTTCCTCTGAATCTGTTACATCACCATCATCTTCATTATTGGTGACGGCTTTTCTAACGTTGTTGATGCAATTCCCGACAACGTGCATGTCATTTTCATTGCGGTTGATGTCGTTACTGTTATCGTTGATGCCACTCCCAACATTGTTGATGTCATTCCCAACATTGTTGATGTCATTCCCAACATTGTTGATGTCATTCCCAACATTGTTGATGTCATTCCCAACATTGTTGATGTCATTCCCAGCATTGTGGACGTCATTTCCAACATTATGGATGTCATTACCAACATTGTGGATGTCATTTCCAGCATTCTGGATGTCATTCCCAACATTGTTGACAAAATTTCCAACATCGTTATTATTGTTTTCAACACTGTTGTCAGGATCTTCAGTATTTGACGAAGTACTAATTGCAATATTTTGATTATCCTTCGGATAGTGATTCAAACTTAATTCTACCTTAGTATCTAACTGAAAGTAATGGTTGGAAGAGTCTGTCTGTTTAAAACAATTCAAGAATTATATTTTAATTTGGTACTGGAATTAAATACAATTCAACACTCTGACCGAATAGTGAATGATCTGAGAGTAGACCTCGTTCGTTCCATTTACAAGCTCATAAGATGCTTCCTGCAACATTTATTCTATTCAATTAATTCGGGAAAATTTGGAAATATTAGTATCACGCATTAAAACACTAATGATCCTTTTTAATTCGTTACAATTTTAATTGTTAAAACTTATTACAACGAGATCTGGCGAAATTAAGCGTTATAAAAAAATTATTTTAAAACAACTCTCACCATAAATTATGTATTGCTACGTTGTGTAGATACGTATGTAAATATATAGATGTATGGATGTATGTAATCATATGCATTCGTATAAATATAAAAATGGCCGGAACAGGTGACGACCATGTCAAATGGTGTCCAATCAATCAATTGACCGCATAGAATGATGATGGTGTTTTGGTGTTTTACATAGGTTAAAATGTGCTATATAAATGTTCCAATAATTATAAGAATAAATATATTTTCTCTATATTGATATAAGAGATTTTTAATAAAAAGAAACCTCTTTTATAGGCATTGAGATGTTTTGGTGTTTACAAATTCTAGAAGTTTAAAAAATATTTTGAAATATATTTTCTATCTTTTCTAAAGATAAAAATTAAATACCTGCTTCGACAAAGCAAGATGACAGTGACGAACAGCAGAAAGAGTACAGCAATAACGATTGAAGGTACTACGAAAAAATCCCAATGACCTTCAGATTTTTTTAATTAAAAGTCAAAATTATAATTTCTGGCAAACGAATTTAACAGAAAATTTTAAAGTTATTAACTCAGTTAAGTTAATATAATTGAATATGACAGTATTTAGGTAATAAATTATAAAATGCCAGAGCAGTGAAAACTTTTTAAGAAATTTGAAATTCATTCTACCTGGAAAAACATAAAAATGTTATCCTATCCGATTAAAAACATTACAAATCGTAGGACCTAATCATAGTTAAAAGAGATCTTGCATCAACCTAACGTATCATTACCGACAAAATATGTACTGTATCCGTTCAATTCAAATATTACAAATTTATTTTTTTATTTCTGTAAAAGTTATAAAAAAATAATACAAGAAAAATTTGCTGGCAAGATAACTAACTAGTATTGATTTTGGACAAGATCAGCTGATCACATCTTCTGTACATCATTGACCGAGCAGCATCGGTTTCAAAGTCTTCTATATGATCAGAGCACGGTTTTTGTGGTTCTTTGTATTTGATGGTTGCATGGAGACATACGTTTATTTTAGAACTAACAAGTGCTGGATCACTGAGGATGTCCAATTTCACTTGGAACGTTTCCAAAGTTGAATTGATCTTTTTGTGGTTGGTGGGTAATTTCTAATTGTATTGGCGTTTTCAAGTTTAATCATTTTCATACAAATTAATTACAAGGGCAATTTATATTAAATTTAATATTTGATCATTAAACCTAAATCAACAGATTTGTATAAAAAGTTTTCACAAAGTTATTGCGTTGAGATTATACGGATTAAAGTTTTGTCAATCTAAAACCGATTTTTATTGGAAAAAGAGTCAAAAATTTGATATGGTAATTAGTGTCTGACTTGCTGGTTAGATAAGTGCAAGTTGTTGGATGTCGTCACATAATAACAGAGAGGTAGCACAAGTGGGTTCCAGGCGATGGAAGTCCTGAAAGTTAGGTGGAGTTCGTCGCTGGCAACATCGTGAGAAATTTTCAACAGTCTTATCGGTCCTATGTGGTTTAGGTCAGTTCATTGTTTATTGTTGCATCAATTTCATAAATTAATAATATAGGCTCAGATGTATTTACTTGTTAATGTGAGAATGATTCAATTTTGTTTCATAGAAACGTTAGCATATATTAATTTTCATTTAATTAATGGTAATAAGGTTGTTAATCTTACTTGAGTTTGAAGTGGAGGCATTTAAAGCGATTGTATCAACATTGGCAGATTGTTGAAAAGCTGTTAAACCGTTCCAGCATTCGAGGTTCAATACGAAATTTTCTACACTTTTGTCATTGTCATCAGCGCTGCTTCCATTAAGAACCACCGCGTAATTCGTACTTTCAACATCTTCAGCACTTACATTATTTCCGAAATTTGTTGATAGGGTTAAATAACGGCAAGCAAGAGATGTGTTGAGAGATGTCAAGATGCCATGTGACTTGGTGCTAAAGCTGTTCACACCTGTCCTAATGAAATAGTTTTTTGGCTGTTAATAAACATACACATTCGTTATAAATGGATCGTTGTTAATGAATAGGCCTATTTACTTTAATGCGTTTACGTAATGACAAAACAGTTTTTAGTAAAAATTATTTAATGCATTTTAAAAGCAACCCACAAATATTTTTTTAGACAAAAATAGCTTGGTAAAAACTTCATAACAAACAATTTTGATTGATCAGATCAAAAGAAAAACTAAAAAAAACGTGCAAAATCAAACCATAATCACAAATTGTTGTTAGATAAATACATATATCGGTGACATCTAACTCACATGTGGCAACGTGTGGAGGAGTGTGTGTACCTGTTGGTGCAGTAGACAATCAACCAGCTGGCTCCATTGAACCAGCTCATAACTTCAATCACAGGATTTGATGAGTCTTCAAATGGTTAAAAATGAAAATGTTATTTAAAAACGTTTGAAAACTATAAAAATTCTAGCTGTGCAATTTCGAAAATACGGTGCGTGTGTACAAATCCGTAAAAATTATATAAATCCAAATAAACTGACATAAAAATTCCATCAAAAGATCTCAATTAAAAAAATCAGATAAAAAAAAATTTTCAAGTTACATTGAACTGTTATGGACATGGTTGCAATAAAAATCAGTTCCTCATTTTCATCAACCACAACGCAATGATGAAATCCGTTCATGTTCATGGAAGCTTTCCAGATTTCAACATTTAGAACAATCATGTAACGACTTTCTGGAGCGTTGGTGTCTTTGAAATTGTTGTCGTTCTCTTTACTTCTCCCCAAAATTGATTGGTTGGCAATAAACTGGGGAAATTTTTTTTAAAATGATTTACTGGAAACATAGTTTCAAACTTTCAATATATCATATAAGTAGATTGCATTGTCATATTTTTGAGTTGCATAACGGATTAAAAACCTAACTGAATACAACAAAGATTTGTCACAATACCCGTGTATAATTAACATTGGACTTGAGAAGATTTGGCAGGTCAATGGATTTGATTAAACGTTCGGAATGAACGGTGCATGTTATGTTGAAGGATTCGTCTACCAACACGTAAATATCTCTTGGGCGTAGTTCTATAATGTTACATTGTGTTAATTAACATATTCAATTTTTGATTCTTATACGTGTTACCGATTTATTTAAGACTTCTTGACAGTGATGCCGAGCGTAAAAAAATTTTAACTCATAGAAACCTCAAAACATTTTTCCGGTCAATTTATCTCTTATTTGCACTTTAAGCTTGTTTAAAAATTAAATCTAGAATAAAAAAAAACTAAACTCCAAATGTTTTCAAACTGGCTTCATTCACATCATTATCATCATAGTAGTTTCCATCGCCACCAAAATCATCACCATCCTTATAATATGTGTCATGATAATCTTCCTTTAAATGTGTTTCCAATTTGTGATAATCGTGACTGCCAGCATTATCACTGTACCTCACATTGGATAGTGGAACGTTGTGAACACCTGTCACGTTGTCACTGAGCACCACATCTTCCACCATGGTGGGCAGTTCATCAGTGGGCTGCATCCCAATTAGTAACGCCACTGTTACCTGGTTGTGACGAGCAAAAACACTATTGAGTACAAGCAAATTGACTGAACTGATTCGATTTTAAAACTTTAAATGTTTTTTTTAATTTATATGTTTCTCTATTTCAAAAAAAAATGTTTTGATTAGTTGGTTTAACACTTTTAATGTTAAAAGGCATTACCACGGATGTTATTCCGCAATTCATTTATATGATGTTAAGTGGTGTTTTTACAGATCAACAAACGTTTACTGCGCTCATTAAAACTTATTTAACTCCAACTCGTACAGAAAACCTGTCAAGTTCAGTCACATTTCCAGATTTTAAAAAATGTTTCTTTGTTTCAATATCTGCCTCATGTTTGTTACACGTCGTCTTTGAACTTTATATAAAATTTGGTGAAACTACATACAGGTTAACCAGATAAAATATATATATTGATTTTTCTGTACAAAACTTGGAACGTGCAGGTTAATAGCTGAAATGATTGTGCAGATTTAAACATTTTTCAGTTTTTAAGAGATACCACTCATATTAATTTGCTCGAACAACATGCATCAGTTGTTTCAAATTGAAAAATTTTAAGTTTTCTCACCGCATGTAAGATCAAATAACGTCTTTTGTTGAACACTGAACCAGTTATCACGCGACATGATCGACGACGATTCTTGTTTATTATCATGGAGATAGAGATAAATTTTTATTTTTTAGCAACTTCTGGATTCTTTCGTTTCAACAATATAAAAAGCAATCTTACGTCATCTTCGTTCACAAAAACGAGACTGTGCTAACACATTTGACTATCCGTATCTCGTTTGAGTCACATAATTTTGTATTAAAATATATCTAAAATGTAAATCAAACAGCAATTATTATAATATGCAATGTCAACATATTTTCGAAAAACGTAAGTATACTATCTATTGTAACTTTCTCAGCTGCAATGTTCCTGCGTTTCTCGAGCGCACGTGCGTGCGTGCCTGCCTGGCTCCTCTTGCTTAGTAACAACCAGGGTAAACAAACAGGTAGGAATGAAATATTTATATTTGATAGGCTGTCATGACGTTGTCCCAATGCATATTTACGACAAGTTCATTACACCACCGTGATAACGTCTTTGTGGCTATTCTATAGTTCCATTTTTATAGTTATAATAAATCAGTCGCTTGGTGTTTGGAAGCTTCTATCGACGAGAAAATCCCTTCAACGAATTGCGTGAATATTTTTATTCGGATGAAATTTTTTTTATCAAGATTTATTCAATGATTGTGTTGGTGGTGCGTGAGATAAATGACGATGATGACGGTGATGATGGAAGTAGATGTAGGAGGTTGATGATAATGATTTACGTTAGAATGGGGGTGATAATGCTGATGAAAACACAGTTGTATATGAATTTTAAATAGAGTTGATTGCATTTTTCATAAAATAAAAAAACATTTTCAGTCACGAAATGACGTCATAATTTATTTTAAAAACACCAATGACACATACGTTCAATAAAATGTAGTTCAATAAAATGTAGTTAGTTGATGATGACATCCAATGAAAATAATTTAAAAAAACATCGAATGAAACAAACATGTCATCAAACAAATAAAAAAAAAGGAAACAAACATCGATCAGACTAAAAAAATGTTTCCATCTCATCGTCCATCCATCCATCCATCCATCCATCCATCCATCCATCCATCCATCCATCCATCCATCCATCCATCCATCCATCCATCCATCCATCCATCCATCCATCCATCCATCCATCCATCCATCCATCCATCCATCCATCCATCCATCCATCCATCCATCCATCCATCCATCCATCCATCCATCCATCCATCCATCCATCCATCCATCCATCCATCCATCCATCCATCCATCCATCCATTCATTCATTCATTCATTCCATCGTGGCTCGTGCTGGTCGCTTGCGTGTAAATCTCTCAACATTGCGACTGCACATCGGTTGAGGTTCCATCTAATTAATTAATTAATTAACTGAATACTTAATTAATCAATTAATTTAATATTTATTTACATATTTTCAAATTAATTTATGATTTTCATGAAAAAATAAAAAATACAATGGACAGATATATTAGATCGAATATAAAAAATCTTGCTAACAGCAATTACATACCGATGTGTATACTAGTTAACATAATTAAATATGATTTAATATATTTTCCAAAATAAATATTCAAATATAAAATATAACTAATTATATTATTGGGTGGATCAGATGTTTCTTGAGCAATCGAACCTTCCCGGCTAAAAATGAGGATGCGTTATCGCAGCTAATTAAGATCACTAGAGGAGTGCCTCAAGGCAGCCTGCTCGGTGCACTCCTATTTATTATCTGCATCAATAATATTGCAGATGTTTGTGGAAACATTCTACTTTTTGCAGATGACTCCGAACTCTTCAACGTAATTTAGACTGAAGAAGACTGTCGATAATTGCAAATAACCTTAGAAAATGTAAGTGATTGGTTCTTGAGACGTGGGTTAAAAGTAAATGCTTCCAAGTGTTCCGTATTTAAAGTTGGAGGTCAAAAGCAGTTCTCAACATAGGAGGAGTAGAGATGCCCCTAACTGAGACAGAACAAATATGGATCTTGGTATACTTATAGACTCCAAACTGATTTTCAACGATTGTATTTCTCAGGCTGCTAGAAAAGCAAATAGAAAAAATAATTGGTTTGCTAAAACGTAATTTTAAACTGTACAGCAAGATTACATAATTTCAAAAATGCACCTATAGCAGCTTTTTTGCTTATTTGTGAATCTGTGGTTAGGTCAGTTCTGGAGTATGGAGTAATTGTATGGTACCCCTTTAGAAAATACCAAATTAAACGCTTAGAAAGGATTTAGAAAAGAGCATCCAGAATACCACTCTAATGCAGAGGATTAAAATACGAGGACAGGTCAAAGCTTCTCGGGTGGTCTTTACTGGTTCACAGAGGCAGAAGAGGAGACATGACATCAACTCATCAATTGCCTGATGGACTGCAGATTGTTGATATCAAACCTGACTACGCACCTACCACGGCAAAAGAGGAAATGGAATGAAGTTGATTAAGTGGATTTGCAGAAAAAAATGTCAGAAAAACCAACGGAATAGTCAATGACTGGAATGACCTACCTGAAAATGTGGTCAAATCACCCAACATTTTGAAAAGCAAATTTTATATCTGAAAATAAAAATGTCAACCCAGAAGATGTAAAGTTGAACAGAACATTTTCAACCAAATATTTTGATTATTGAATTATTTTTTCTTAAAAGCTGTTTGCATTAAGGTGGCAAGAAGCTTTGTCGCGCTCCAAATTTATTCAATTCAATTTATTTCAATTCAATTCAATTCTATTCTATTCTATTCTATTCTATTCTATTCTATTCCATTCCTTTCCATTCCATTCTATTCTATTTTATTCTAATTCTATTCTTATTCTATAATATAAAAAAACGATTGGTGAACGTCAGACTGACTAACATCTTTGACGAGCATGTCGTCAATGGAGATCAAATCGACATCGCGACACTCGTCAACATCGCTCAAGCAGTCACTTCTTATGTAGAAATTTTGAAGGTCGTCATAGTTGCTACTACGAACTTGCTTGGTAGATGTTTTCTTCCTTGAATGGTCAGGAAAGCTTTTTCTTACAGTTTTGTTGTTGTTGATGTTGCTATTGATGTTTTTAATGTATTCAATGGTGTTGGTGTTGTTATCAATGTTGTTGTTATTGCCGTTGTTGTTGAAGTCGTTGATGTTGTTGTTATTTTTATTGTTGTTGTTGTTGTTGACGTTGTCGTTGCTGCTAGTTAAGTAGGATTTGTTCTTCATGTTGGTTGCACGTAATGCAAATTTTATGTGACACACGAAAGCTTGTTTGAACGTTATCTTGAAAAGTTAAGAAATATGCATTAGATCAAAATTCTCAAATTTTTTTAGTTTTGTAAAAAACCAAATTACCTCAACAGATGTGAAATCGTAAACGTCACGAGATCATCTAACAATATAAAGATGCTATTCAATCCACACAAAACCCCTCAACCACCTGTACAGTTTAGAAACAAAAAATGTACCCGTCTCCTTGTAGACTCCATCTTACTAGCGTAAGATATCTCGAGGACGACAAGGATCAAAGCCAATACCAGTCCAGCTATCAGGATGTAGAAGATCCCGAGAGTATTCTGCAGTTTCAAACTGCTCGTCAACTCGTGCTAAGTTTCAGAGTGAATTTTTATAAATAATGACGACGACGACGATGATGAATAAAATGATGATGATGAAGAAGAAGATGAAGTTACTGATGAAGATGATGTTGATGACTTTTCATTCTTACCTTTTTATTTCAATTGGACAAACGCATGTTTGCAATCACGTAATCACTGGTATTGTTTTTCCAATCATCTCTATTCCCATCATTACCATAAGTATAATAATTATTATCACCACCATCATCATCATCATCAGCGTTTTTGTCCTTTTCATTGTTATTTTCATCATCATCGTCACCATACTTTGTTATCGATATAAGCAATGAACAAAATTAACATTGTCATCTTTCATAGAATTTCCACTGCAGATCTTTGTCATCTAAATCTCTTTATAATGATTTGAGGCTGAATCGTTAACTTGAGTAAAAGACACTCCGTCATGTTTGCATAAATATTTTATTCTTTATAACGCAGAGCTTCTTACATGTTTTTCTATACACGACACACGTACACAGTACGTACACACGCGCAAGCACCTCAGCATATTCGTATGATGATCTTTGAGTTTCGGACAGACAGTATTCGAACCATGTTATCGCGTTATAGAAGAGCGAAACATGGCATTCCTACCGACTGAGCTAACTTGTTGATCATATTTGCAAACACCATAACAAACATCTTATTTATAAGCACTTTTCGTTATTACCATTTAAAAATTTACAAATGTTCCAGCCTACAAATCATACATTAACCACAATTTTCTTACTACGTTACTAGAACGCTATCCACATCATGCAAAATGTCATCCTTAAATACTCATTCATTATACCATCTGAAAATAATTTACCATGAACCAAATACCCGATGACCCTTCCACCACCACGTACTTTTTTTAGAGTGACCTCCTTCACAGGACATTCACCCTTTTCCTGCCACCATTTTGTTTCCAGCTTTGTCAGCTCTCCACCTTCGTGCAGTTCCAGCACTGTTAATGTTATTCTGTCTCTGGAATGATGGATGATGTTTGTATGGAAGGAAAGAAAAACGGTGTTCTGTTTTATGAGTGTTTATCAATTTTAAATACTTGGTGATGATGTTGCCCAGCGGCTTGGGTGGATGAATAGAAAGTTGTCTTATCATGATATCGTAATAAAGGTCATACAATCATTTGATTGGATGCGCTGTAATTTAAGCGCTTATCAAATGCAGGCTTGGAAGGTCGAAGTAATTTGCATTGGAGATGAGAATTATAACAAAATACTTTCAATAAAATGATGATTTTGAAATTATTCTAACTTATTTTTAGTAAATTTTGTTAAAATATTTGGGTTTGATATATTAAAATTTAATAAAAAAACAATTAATGTACAGACTTGAGATCAGATCCTTGCTGCATTCCGATGCCATAACCTTTCGAGTCCAAGTTGCCTCCCACCTGTTATGTTTCAAAAACATTTCAAAAAACATTTAAAAGTTTTTGAAGTGCAAAATTTTATTGGATATAAAGTTATTTTCTTTATTAATAAATTGAAACAAGTTAATATTTATCAATGTGTTTAAAACGTTTACCTTAAAAAGTTATTAGCAATAACAACTGAGTGTGAGAGTAACTGACAAGCAATAATTAGAAAATATTTGAATGACTGTGATTATTATTGGATGCGAAATGAATGTGAACCAAACAAACCTTCATGGTGTCGCAGGGCTTCCTCTGGTTGTAGTAGTCAACAGTTGTTGATTCTGCCAGGAAGGCGTACTTGCCTTTGCTTGTTCGAACCCTGTCCACACCTGCACCGTTGTGGGGGTGATGCTTGTGATTTTTTGTGAGGTAGGAGAGACTCATCATCAGTTGTTTTATAAAAAGTTTTTGTTCTTCAAAAACATATTTCATAAAATAAAAATTTGATAGAATGGATAGTTTTTGGTTTAATGGCAGAATACAATAGCCGTGTTTTTAATTCAAGGAGTAAATTTAGAAAACAGTGAAATAGATTTTTCAAAATCAAGAAAATTGAAACATGCTTGCTATTATATTGATTTTCAAGTAAAAAATAATTATTTATATTTTTTAAAAGAATTTTTAAAACAATATTTCACAAAGAAGTTTCTTAAGAAGAAAACTACAATTTAATAAGAAAATTGGAAAACAATTAAAAATTACGTTGAAACAAAAATGCAATTCTAGCAAATGACAAAAATTGATGAATAGTTGAAGAACAGTTAAAAACCAGTTACGAATGAAAAAAGTAGACCCAAACCTTCATCATTTGTTTTGACGAAGATGACAGTTGGATTGTTGGATGACATAAATGCCCACATGCGTTCGTACACTGATATGCTTGACGTCTTGATGGCATTTTTTTATTTCATCAATCCATAGTTAATTATTATTTATTTCAAATTTAATTAGGGTGATATGTTTCTCTACTTGATTATTAAAGTTAAAACAAAAATAAAATCGTTATGAAACAACCAACCGACCAGCCAACCGACAAACCAAACAACCAACCAACATAATAGACCTTCCAGTTCGTGCAATCATAAGCTTTATTGTTATCGTTTTTGTAAAACAACTTCACGAATGAAAATAAAATTATTTTGTTTTCAACAAAATAAAACAAGTTGTTGATTTCAAATAAGTTTTTAACTGCTTTACTGGCATAACATTAATAAAAAAAAGGTCAAAAAAACGAGTGTTTGTATGAAATTTTGGATTCATAATTATGGGAATTTCATTGAAAAAGATATTTATATAAAATTTGCTTTCAGTTTTGTGCATATATTTCCATTCGTAAATTTCGTTTGTATCTCAAAAAATTGAATGATGATTTGCAGTCACGCACTTGAAAAAATACTTTCAAAGTTTTGAGAAATTTGAAAAATTAATATTTCTTTCGATAGGAGGGAAAACAGCGTGGTAATTTTTTCTGATAATGAAATTTCATTTTTGTTTTGTCAAGTTTGTTTTTTTAATTTTCACGTAAAAAAAAGTTATTTTTGAATGTTTCCTAGAATAAGGAATTAATGAAATTGTTTCTTCAGTTGACGGCATGTTTGAAACGTTTGATATCATTTTGCCGCCAAAACATAAGTTATGGCCAGTGGACGAACTTTAAAAATAACGTGATCATTTTAATATTAAAAAAAAAATAACTTTCGACATACATTTAGTTGTCGACAAAACTGAAACACATAATTTCTTCAAAAACATTTATACAAAATTTGCAAAGAATTAATTTTTCTCGACGTTTCTGTTCAGTAGCAATTGATTGATGAAAGCCAGTATTTCGTGCAATTGATGTAATGGTATTCATGCGGTGAATAAGCAAACTGAAGCAACCTTAAAAAAATCTTTCGTCGATCCTGAATCGACACTCCCGTATTTGATCTCCGTCTGCTTGGCTAGGTCATCGGCGGATTCGATGGGACTCTGCATTCGTTCCTGCGTTAGGAAAGCCGCCAGGTTGGCTGTGTAGGAGCTGATGATGATGAGGGTGAAGAACCACCACACACTTCCCACGATTCTTCCAGGCAGAGACCTGTTGGTAGCAGAAGTTTCAAACCCAACTTTAAATAATGGAGTTAAATTTCCTGACAAAAGAAAAATATTACAATTTATAAATATTATTTATAAATAATATTAATCATTTATTGTAGTAAATAAATTATATTGCCATGGGCGTAGCTAGCCAGAAGTGGTTTTCGGGGTTCAAACCATAAAAAATAATTCATAACTTGATCTTGTTGCTTTGCACCATTTCAAAAAACAGTTTAATAGTAATGGCAATAGTAACTTCTGACGCACTCACAACCAAACAATCATAATTTTATTATTACCCTTAATAATAAAATTATTAATAATGGTAATAGTTATGTGTGGACAACTCACTGCTGTTGGCTGATGTCTTTATATGCTTATGCGTGTAGGTGTTCACGTACATACTTATGATACGAGATGAATATGTGCCCTATAAAGTAAATATGCTGACTAACTCAGGGCAGGGGAGATGAAGTTTGATTGTATTTTTGCAATGGAAGCTAGTTCAATTTTTGAGAGAGCATATGATGTCTTGTTCGTTTATTGAATCTCAAAAGTATTACAATGATTGTGGACAATGTGTGGAAGAGCAAATCACTGGTATGTCCCGCTTTTTTACACCAATTTCATTTAGTTTAGTTTAATTTTATTTAGTTATTTTTTGTTTATTTGTAGCTAGTTAATTCATTTGTTTTTATTTATATAGTAGCATTGTGTAAAAGCTTGAAAGAGTCTTTAGGCATACAAGAGGTATGGAAAGCTAGTTTTGCTTCTAAAAAAAAATCATTTTCTAAATCCACCTTAGTACGCCAAAGATTTGTGTGATAAAAGTTTGTAACCCTATATATACACTCTGAACTTTTTTCAGTTTTCAGCAATAACAAAAATAAAAATATAAAATTTGTGTGGAATAAATTTTGTGAAAAAAAGTGGAATGCAATAATTTGAATGGATGTTCTCGGAAGAAATTTTAATCTCCGATTACGTTTGCAATCACGTGATGACACTCAACAATGGAGTAAGAATTAAAATTTGAATGAAATGCAATCCGTTTCAACAGGAAAAAGTTTCAAATTTTAGACATTTTATGTTAAAAACTGATGGGAACAAAAAACTTTAACAAATTTTCTCAGGAAAAAATTGTTTCATTAACAACTTTTTCAAAAATACTTAGTTTCATGAGTTTATATATTCTATACCGAAAAATTGTGAGCTATCTTATAAATTAATTTTGTTATTTATCGCTATCAAGTGGTTGGAAGTGCAACGTGCCTGTTAAAAAAGTTTGCTAACTTTGGTTCGACATCGCATCCCTGCTGCATGAATGCACCAAGTGAGAACCACAGACTGTTGAAGATGGTGATCCTGTCGTCGACCCTGATGGCTTGCACGGCGTCAGCGTTATCCATGTAACTGTTCTTCAGGTGTCTGCTGATGTTGGCGAGTGAAATGTGGCGGTGCGATGAGATGCTGTCCTTGCGGTGGAAGTCACCTGCCGAGTAACTTTTCGTCATCCGTCTCCTGCTGCTTTCCGTCGGCATCGCCACACTGTTTGATCTTTGGCGTTGTGGTTGTAAGGAAAATTGCTGCAGCTGCAGAAAGTGTTGCTGCTGTTGTTGCTGTTGACGTAACTGTTGCTGATGTTTTTTTTGACGAAAACGTAATTGAAGCAGTTCTGACTCACAGTCCTGACAAAAGTCCTGAAAGCACTGTGTTCTATAGCATTGGGATGTGCAATGGCTGCAACGACATTGCGGTTGACATAGTGGTTGTGAGAATGGCTGTGAGTGAGGTTGACATTGTTGTTGTTCTTGGTGTAAGAATATTTTATGGTGTTGATGCAATTGCTTTAAATTTTGTTGCTGTAGATTCAACTGATGCTGCTTTTCTAACATTTTATTAGTTTTATGTTTAAAAATGCATGGAGAAACTTCATGAAGCGTTTGACAAGTTTGATCAAATGAATCGAAACGAGATTGCGCAAACATACGATCCTCATCAAACAACATTTCTTCCGATTGATGGTTGACACGTTGCTCACACATTTCATCATCTTCATTTTTTATGCGTTTCATATTTAAATCAGATTGTTTCAAAATATTTGCACCAAAGTAGTCCACTCCGGATCGAGATGATCCGCTGCTTTTTTCGCCTGGACTGAACCTGGCCACGAGGAAGAGGACCACACTTACTCCGATGTACGCAAAAGATACGCACATCCAAATTTCGTGAGAGAGAGGCTTCATAAAACCGACGATGCCAGGATTTTCCTTTGTTATTTTTTTAATCATGATGCTAATTCCGAGACTCATAAATGGTTTGCTGAAATCAACGACTCTCTCACGCGCAGATGTTATCGTCAGTGGTGCTATTGCCATGTCAGCTTCCTGAATTGTGTGTGATTTACATTTTGGTAATTATAATTATATCTAAATTAATCTTACTCGTTTATGTCAAAATTTTGCAATTTTTCACTGCCATATATGTAGTCTTAAGGACTATGAACCAATCAACCGACCAGCCAGTCACCTTTCTCACAAGTTCTCCAATCATTCCATTCCATGTGACGTTATCATCTGTGGCTCCGAACTTTCCATCCTTCACAGGTCTGATAATGTACGTGAAGCCAATTCTTTTAGCAATTTTTTGAGCAAGTTCAGGGCAGTAACCTTCATAAAAATCGTTGGGATCTTCTGGCTCAACGGACAACTCACGTTTCATAAAGTACGGAGCGCCCTGCGTTGTTTTCGTGTTATTATAACGATGAAAAATAAGCCATATTAAACAAAGACGGTTTTTTAGATCTCCTGGATTTTTTGTTTAGCGGAATAAAAAATTGCAAATAAATAAATAATGCTTTTAATATGTGTTAATAATTTGATTTTATCTCAATAATATTTGTAGAAATGTCAACAATATTCACTATAGTAGGAGATCGGCAATGATGTTGATGACAATGTTGGAAAAATTATAACTTATATGAAGATGATGATGATGTCGAGGGAAGAAATGATGATGACAATACTGAGAAAATTAATTATGATGATGTAACTTATTAAATTTAAGATGTTGGAAATTCAAACCAGGATGGATGTGATGAATCTGGTCCTGTTTGTTAGAGGGGCAAATCTCATCTTCTCCCGGAGCCGAGGTGGGGGGTACTCGTGAATGCTTATGCCCCCTTCTGAACTCCAGCTACCCATCTTTAAATGGTGGCCATCAATGCAGTTAATATTAACAAATTAATAAATATTTTTACCATACCAGTTTTAAAACGATGTTACTTATATAATCGTGTTTTTAAAGACAAAACTAATATTGAAACACAAAAAATTTTGATAGAGGAATATCGTGGAGCTAAGAAAAAATTAAAAAAAAAAACATAAAATTAAGAGATTAGGACCCTATAAAGCTGGCGTATGTTTGAGACCTCCATGACGTCCATTTTGACATCAGACCTAAGAGAGGAGTCATCGAATTTGACGTGACCTGTCGCCCCGTAGAAATCTGTCTGTCTGACAAACGAAGGCAAATATTTTTAGATGTTGTAATGCACTTTGTCGTTGAGCTATAATCAGTAAGATAAAATGTTTAACTTATTAGTTGAACATTTTTTTAAATAAAAAAATTTTTAAAGAAAAAAATCTTTTGAAAAAGCATAATATTTTTAGAGTTTATGTATAATAAATTTAAATTGACAACGAATAAAAAATTTAAAAAATTCATCATCATCTTCAACCCCAACAATAAATCCATCTGCTCAAAAGCATCGTTTATATTAACGTTAATTTTAATGACGGCAACAATAATTACATCATGATTAAAAAACAACAACAACAACAACAACAACATGATTAAGAAACAACAACAACCACAACAAACACACAGTGTTTGACGCCAACGAACAACCGTCATAAGATGTTTCATGACGTCATCTCCATCCTCCCATGCACTCACGCCCTCTCTATCGCAGTCAAATTGTGTTGTGAACTTTTGAAATGAGGTCAACCAACGTTTGACCTTTGAACTGCTGACGTCACTGAGGACCGAGGAGACCAGTTTGATGGAATCCAACATCAAAGCTGTTTCATACTTGAAGGTACGAGTTTTGAAAGTGAGTTGATAAAATTAGGTAAATTAAAAAATTACGGTAAAGTTTGTAAACGTAATATAAATTATTTTTAATTTTGTCAAATGTAATTATTTATCTGAGTAAAATTTGAAAAAAAACTAAATTTTTATACAAGAAAAGAAGGAAAAAAAGTGAAGCTGGTGATTTGCTTATTGTTGCATGCTGTTGTTACTGTTGTGTTGCTCTTACGCAAGCAGGACATTCATACAAGGACGTCTAGAAGTCTAGAATCAATTGCCAGTTGACAACACTTCCGCCATCAATCAATCACACGTCACTAACAAGTGTTCTAATACATACCACACACACATACACACACACACACATATGCACGCAAACACACACACTCACACAAATGCTCACACATAAACACGCTCTCATGTACACACACATTTAAAAATGTGAGACTGAAAGTTTTTAAACTTTAAAGAATGCTGAAACTTTAAAGAATGTCGAAACTTAAAACTTTAAAGAATGTGAAAAGTTTTTCCATTTTAGTTTGTTTGCGTTTTGTTTGCGCAGCCGATTGCATTGCAGTTATTATGTTTAGGAAAAATTTTATGTCGTTGACGCAACTTTTTCACAAAAATAACTCTTAAAACATGGAATAAGTGCATTTCTGCTGGTCAAATGACAAGCCTGTGTTTCATATTGAAAATAATTATTGTTTTTGTCATGAAATTTTTTAAAGTAATTTTGATATTTTTCATTGAAATGTTTATTTTATAAAAACATTAGTCACACAGTGTGAACCAAATAAAAATCACAAAAACATTTTTTATAGCAACAAATAAGAAGCTTTTGACTGGTGGTTGTTAATTTGCACGGCACGCAATCGTGTAAGTGGCTCGTAAGGGCTATTATCTAACTATTTTCATTTCGTAATATCATTTCACGAGTACTTTTTTCTGCTTCTTTTGTAGTTTTTTTAAAATTATTTTCAATACATATATCCATGCACATTGTAAAATACATTCTAGCTTAGATTACCCACACCTATTAACGTTTATTGCCAAACCTGCTGTTTTTAGGGTATTTTTATCGATTCACTTTCAGCTTAATTTTATGTTACATTTGTCGCTTTCATACTGAACATCACTTCATCCCAGCGTTTTTAAGATAAACATTTTTTAGCCTTTCTCGCTTTCTTCCATCATTTTAAATTTGTAAAAAAAATTAACCGTCAAATTTCCCAATGCCAACAATTTTGTATGCCTCACTGAAACACGCGAATGTTGAATTACAGATGTTTTTAACAGGCATTACTCAATGTTGCTGCAGTTGAAACAAAAGTCCTCGAAATGTTCTCAGTTTTGTTTGTCAGTTGTTACAAATGAACCTCAATCTTGCATTGTTAACGTGGAAAAACCTTTTGAAGCAGGAGCAACAATACGAAATGATGTTTAATGAGATTATATGAAATATGAAACATTAACGAGGAAGATGGAATAAAATATGATGAAAACTCTGCAGTTGTACAAAATTTTCCCTCATTAAAATGGTTACAACAGTAGGACGTGTTTCTTCCCTGGAATCTGCAACAACGTTGTCATCCCCTCCAGCACCATTCACTCATTAATACTTGCCAACATTTTCTTAAGTTGAATTTGTTTTGAAAGAATTTAAAAACAATGAACTTGTTATCTCCTTATCAATAAAATGTTAAATTATTTGCTTTAAACTTATTATAAATAAATAAATTTTTTGATAAATAATTTTTAATTTTATTTTTTTATTTTCATTGACTGACGGAGTGCAAAACATTTCATACAGAAGTTGCAACATAATTTGTGCAGGGTGAAAACTTTTGTAAAGTTCATTTCTGAACTAAAACTCAAGTCTTTTCGAATTCACACAGAAAACTTGTATATGTAACAGGTAACACACTCGACAAATACATTTACAATTGTTAAAAAACTTATATACGCAGGCAAACACGCACATATATATATATATATATATATATATATATATATATATATATATATATATACATATATAAATACATAAACGTGCGTGTGCGTGTGTGATAAATGCTGTGATGTTTTCGGCATCCATCAGCCACACGCCACCACAAGCAGCCGGCTGCACGTCTGATAGGAAGGCATAATAATAATAATATATTAAAGATTTAATAAGATTATCTCGTCACGAAAGCACGCAGACTTAATCCCCTTCAATGTTGGCCATATAATTTTCACATGGGTATCGCTCGCTCGCTGCCGCACAGCTAACTCGCCACTCACACGCTATCTATGTGTTCTAATTACTTTTTAATTCTATTTTGAGAAAAAGTTGCTTCCGGGGCAAATGCACTTAATGTGTGTGCGTGTGTATGTATGTGTTTGTGCGTATTTCTGTATGTGTTTGTGTGCGCGTGTGTGTGTGCGCATCAACATTTTGCTGAGGTTACAACCTGGGAAATCTACATATTTCTACGTGGGAAAACTGCATCGTTTTGTAATTTAATAGATTTCAGGTGCAGAATGTTCCTGCAGTGTCTCATCACTGTTGAAGTTAGTTACATTTGAATGTCAACCAACGGCATTTCTTAGATTTGTTTTCAGTTAACTTAATTTGTTTTCAGAATGATTTGGTCGTAAAAGTTGAATGCTGTTTTTTTATCTGCTGCCACTTTGTTCATATAGATGACATTTATCCTAACAGACTTTCCAGTACAAAGTGGATTGTACACTTAATGCCACATGGAGTGTGAATAAATCAGAAGACAAAGACACTCCAGGTGAACGCACAACGTCAGGTGTGGATGTCGTTGGTTGGCGTTCATTTGCAGAGCACGAGAGGAACAAGTCAATGTCCTGTCTTGTGCTCTGCTTGCAATCAACTTGGCACGTCGTCCTATTGCGGGGCAACAAACTCGCATGCTTCTAATTCTAAAATGAATGCAAAAATTGAAACATTCTGCCGAAACTATATTAGATAAAAATATCCATATATCGTAACAAGCCATGCGCCAGGTTTTTTAAAAACACTTGCACTCATGCACTCATTAAAGTTTGGTCAGAAAGTTTTTCAGATGAAAACATCCATTGATAAAGCTGAAAAATTCATGTCTTAACTGTTTTAAAAAAACTGCTAATGAACGGCTTTTAAAAAAATGAGCAGAATTAACTAATGATTAAACATTTTCAAATAATTTCGTTTTTGCTGTTAAATAGTTACCATTTTACAAGCGGACATATGGCGAAGTAGTTTGTAGCAATCCCCTCTACGTTCGTTGTTGACATTAAAATACAACGATGACCTTAAAATACAACGATGACCTTAAACCTCCTTCCTCACTAACAAACATTCACTCTCCACTCTAGAACATGCTGCTGTCGTTAACTCGTTCTGCAATGGGACTGCTGACCAAATTGACCGAGAAGTTATGAATAGTGCTACTGCACTTTTTACCGATATGGTAAAATTTATTCTTTTATACATTTGCTAATTAATATTTCTGTTTTTAAAACAAAAACAAAACAAACAGCAGGCATTATCCAATTCACCATGCACCTCACAAACAAACATACATACATACAAACAAACAAACAAACAAATTAGGTATTAAACGCTACTCGGTTCATGCAGCTGTCATCGTTCATGACATGCAGTTTATATTATTCGTCTTATTTAATTATTAATATATATATATTTAATTAAGCATTTAATAATTTAGTACATCAATAAAATAAATTTTCAATATTTTATTCTGAGTTTAAACGTGCAGTTCAAAATTTATAATTTGAATTTTTCAATTATTTGTAATAGGATTGTAAAATCTGAGTTAGGTAAATAGGTAGGTAGGTAGGTAGGTAGGTAGGTAGGTAGGTAGGTAGGTAGGTAGGTAGGTAGGTAGGTAGGTAGGTAGGTAGGTAGGTAGGTAGGTAGGTAGGTAGGTAGGTAGGTAGGTAGGTAGGTAGGTAGGTAGGTAGGTAGGTAGGTAGGTAGGTAGGTAGGTAGGTAGGTAGGTGGGTAGGTAGGTAGGTAGGTATGTGTTCTGCGTGAGTGAGGTTCATATTCTATTTAGGATTGCATGCACGTTCAACATGTTGCTTCCACGAAGAGTAATAAACATTCAGACAGCGTAGTAATTCATTATTCATGTTCTTTTATACTAACGCAAATGCTAAAAAAACTTTTGGCAAAAAATTTATTTCAATTCGCGCATAAAACAGTTTCAATAAAAATATAACAATTGCAAACAAATTCAGGCAAAAATGAAGAGTATTTTTATAAAAATAAACAAAAACTGAAAAAATGATCGAAATGAAACAAAAAAACATCAACGTCAACATATTAGGCGGTAAATAAATAAAAAGTGCAGTACTTACATTTACTTTGCCGAATGAGAGCTTATTGTCCTTGAAATGTTGTTGTTGCTGCTGTTGAAGATGCTTTTGTTGAGGCGAATAAAAATGTTGTTTTGATGATGCAGGTTGTTGTGTGTTCTTAATTTGTTGTGTCAACTTTTGCAGGTGTTTGTGTTGTTGTTGGAGGTCTTGATTTGTGTACATTTGTTGTTGTTGTGGGTAGGTAAATTTTTTAATTGGGCGGTAGTATTGTTGTTGTTGTCGTTGTTGTGATTGGTTGGTTGGTCGACGATTCTGTTGAGTTTGATGCTCTTTGATATTTTGGTAAAAATTTGGTAGGAAGTATTCTAAAATCGGTGAAAATGTGGTAGTGAAAGAGCTTGGTGTTGAAGGAAATTTGAGATGAGTGGAAGGAGGAGGTCTGTAGAGTTTCTTCAAGTTGGACTTCAACGTTAAATTCTGCACGTCCACCAGCCGGAACCCCGTAACATTCATTCCTCCGATCTCAAAAAATGGAACTTCCAACTCATTGATGACCTGAGCGTCGTTTTTGAATAATTTTACACTTTACCGGTTTGAATGTTGATGGATAATTAAAAATCATCTGATAAAATTGTTTCTTAAAATGTTTTCTCTAGAAAATATTTCCGTTCAAATTTGACGAGGTGTTCCTCCTCATTCTGAAACTGTTTGTTTATCGTAATAATTTGTTAGAAAAAACCAATGCGGAGGCTATGAATGTATTACCTCCATCTGAATGCAAATAGATTTTTTGCTTGCACCCTTGTTTCTCAGCGAAAAGATAAAAATTTGATGGCAACAATCTTACACCGCCACAGAAATAAAATGACTCGCACGTATAAAAATAATGTCTGGCGATAAAAATTCAAAGCGATTCCATGGCAAGAAAGTTGTTGAAATAAAATTTTTCATTGCAAATATGACTGTAATTGTTTTTTTTACGTCTTCGTTTGCTGCAAAATTTTCTAAAGATGTCAGAAACTGTTATTTTTATGCAGAATGAAATGCAAATTGTTTTAGGTAAAAAACACATTAAGTTTTATTTTGAAGTTCTTTTTCGATGCAAAATCACTTACGTCTGCAGATGAATTTTATATCAGCAAAAATATTCGAATGCTCTAAATTTTGTAAAATAAATTTATCATAAGAGTTTTAAAAAATTGATTTGTAGTATCCAATTTACATATTTTGAATTTTTTGAACTTGAATTTCCAGTTGCTGTAAAATTGCTTTCAGATATTTCATTACATTTTTTTTATCAAATTATTAACAAAATATAGTTATCTATTCATCTCGTTGGTCACTTCAACAAAAATACTTCCAATAAAAATTTTTATCACGAAATTCCCACCGATAATTTCAGTACATTAACTAACAGAATAAATGATTTTTCAATTAAGAAAGTATTCATGCATAGCCAGTAGTTCTAACTAATTTAATTATTTTGACTGGATGTGAAACTTTTTAACAAAATGTTTTGAAAGAAAAAGAATTTGTTACTATTTCTTTAATGACAGAACATTACTAACACTAATATTTTCAGCGGCATTAAATTTTTTTTATTCTAAAAGTCAAGAAGTACATGTTAATTTTTTTTGCCAAGAAAAATTTCAGCAAAAAACTATAAAGAGTCTTGAAAAAAAATCAAATTAACAACGACCTTTCAACGAAAAGTTATCAGCCGCACGTCTCGGAGCATGATTTCTGCTGATTCAAAATTCATCTGCTGACTTAATTGATTTTGCAAGAAAAAAGAACTTCAAAATGAAACATCTTAATGCTGCTTACTGCTTATTGCAATTTTCATTTGAACATTTTGTTTGATGTGCCTGTCAGCACTTTATTATCTTTTTTTCAGAAAAGATTGCAAAATTCATAAATCAACAAATATAAAAAACGTAAAAAAGAAATTTATAAACCGTCACGCACTTGCAAAAACACACATTTACAAACAGACCAACATTTACACAGAGAAGCAGACGCACACAAACACAGACACACACAAACACAGACACACGAACACAGACACACACACACGAACATAGACACAAACACATACACATATGCGCAAGCAGATGCATACTAACAGTATCGACTATGACGAAATTCCTTTTAACCTCAGGCAATTCACTCTGCAGCAGAAAAATGAAACGAATACGTTTTATTCATTTATTTGAAATGAAGTTAAAAGTTAAACTAAATTTTATAAAACACAAAATAAGATTTACCGTAAATCCAACTTCATTCTTTTAAAGTTAACAAAAAAATATATTGCTATCAACGTTATATTAATGTTAAAAAGTAAAAAACCAGCCTAATAGTGAGTCGTCCAAACAATATTTTGACTTATCATCTCATCACTTATACATGCATTTCCATACGAAGTTGGTTTTAAAACGATTCCCGCACTTAATGCAGACCTCTGATTCTTCTGCTTTGCTTACCTAACCTTGATATAAATCAAGTGACGCATTAAAAACTTTTCATCTATTTTGACAAAGTTTTGATCGATGATTGAAGGAACGTAATGAATGACAGCAAGTTAACAGCCCAGTTAACTGACATCATCCTTTCAAAACGAGATCCCACTGGGAATTGTGCACATTTTATTGGGAAGATAAGATGGTCCTGAGATGGAAAGATGGTTCTCTGTTGGTGCATGCTCATATGTTTCTCAAATATTTATTTAAATGCTTCTTTTAATGTCAATTCATTGTTACTTATGATGATTGATAGTGAACGAGCAAATGAACAAATCGTTTACCGAACATATTTAAGGTTATAAATTAAAAAATAATGTCCGTGATAGATTGAACTAGTCGTTAGACAAATGTATAATACATTTAATTTTGTTATAAACTACCAACATTGTCGTTGAAATACTAATAAGTACTTTGATAGTTATATGTATTTTATTTGGAAATAAGTTAAATCAGATGGATATTCATATAATTATGAATGTCGAAAGATCTGATAACTCAGTGTAGAAAATGTTGATATAGCTAGACGAGAGGCGGGTGATGGTGCGATGAATTACTTGGCATTACCGTTAGCCTGATCAGGTTTGATTGCAAAGAAATCCTCTACTTATCTGTGATGTGTTCAGTCATGTGTAGGTACTTACGTACATTTTTCCAAGTTGAGAAATAGTGAAACGATTATTTTAAAAAATCAATATAATAGCAATATAATTATAGTGAATTGATATTTTGTTTTCAAGATTAATTTTGAAAAGTGCGGTAGATTAATTTTGTTTTTTTTTTTTATTAGCCATGACCAAATTGGGAGCTGTGAAGGTCTTGGAGCTGAAAGAGAACGGATTAGGGTGCCAATAATTTTCAGAATGAAAAAACTTTCCATCAAGTTTTTCGAAAATTCTTTGCTAACCAATGAAATCAACAAAAATGTAGTAATTTGTTAGTCATAAGCAATTAATTAAAAACTGAATCACCTTAAAACAACATTGATATGTTTGTGCGAATGTTTCTCGTAAAAGAGAGAAAAAATTTTTTCGGGAAAAAAAGAACATTCGAACTTTTGTAATTTGATTTTTTTAAATATTTTTTTTGGGCCATTTCTGTAGATGCCTCGGGCAATGCCCCGCCTGACCTCCCCTAAATGCACCCCGTATTGTAACTCATTTCAATTTTATTTCTGCTTCACGTGGCTTAACAATTTAGATTTTGGATCTCTTTTTCATTCAAATAAAAACGTTTTTGAACTAAATTGAAAGATGCTACATATAAGAAGAAGGTTAGGAACATATATTTTTGTTTGTTTAATAGAACATTAACAAAAGACGGTGACGTAAATATTTATACATCATGGAAAATAATATTTTGAAGTTAATGTTCAAAACAAAATAGACAGGCAATAAATAGAAGTTATGACTTTTGACATGACAGAGAGGTCAGGTCACGTTCCAGCGGATCACTTCATGTACATTTCGTATGTTGCGAGGGATTCATACATTAAGTGCAGCTAATAAGCAATTTTTTGAAGTTCCACTACATTATAAGAGAATTTTTTTTAATTAAAAAAAAATGTTTTTGTTAAAATCGTATTAAACTAATAACGCTAATGATGACGACATTTTTTAGAACATATTTTTGCACAAGTTGAGTTGTTTAATAACAAATGAAATTAGAATACATATAATTAAAACTATTAAAAGTAAACTTATGATGTGATTTCTTTCAATTTTACATTTAACCGATTATGGAACATGGTCTTTAAATATTTTTATCAATACATAAAGACTTGGCCTAATTGCTGAAATCCACTAATCTTAAACATATTTTCATATATTTTTCTCTTCAAAATGTTTCAACGTGATGTTCATTAAAATAAATGTGACTGTAGCTTCACTAAATATAAATAATTACTATAATATGATTTGTATCATTTAATTTATATTATATATCAACGGACAGTCATTATGATATAATACGGACAGTATATACGAAAGTATGAAATATGAATTGAAAAATATGAAGGCGCTATGATCAAGTTCTAAAATAAACCGCTGCTGACTATTTCCACGCTAATGCGTGTGTAGGTACATTGTCACACGTTGTGGTGCTGCAGGATGAGTTGATGCTAACAATTCGTACCCTGCATGTCTATCAGATCTTTATTTATTCCTAATATTTGCAAATTTCTAATTTATTCTTACATATTTTTGTGTACATTGAATGCTAAGCTGTAGCAAAATTTGGGTTGTTCGAAGCAGGATTGAAGTTAATAAATGTTAGTAACAGTGCCAGCGAAAGTTCGCTAAATACTTGCTGTTTAATTCTGAGACATTTTTTTCCTATTAAACAGAATACACGAATCTTTACTTTAACGTATTTTATTATTTAGTTTTATATGGAAAGATTAGTTGCATGCAGATTGAAAGTACCTTACGATTGCACTGTTACTATTTATATTTTATATAGAGAAGGACATTCAGTACAAGTGTACAAGGTGAAGTGATGTGTTTTTGTATATGAAATGTACAACGAATGCACAATGGATGGACAGCACAGTTCCTTGCACGGCTGCTGTAAGTTCAAATATGCGCGCATTTGATTCCATGGGAATAATAATAAACTCTCGAAATGAAGATTGCGTAAAATAACATAAAAATGTTTACCCTACCAAATAGGATAATAAAAAATATGAACCCGAAAATAAATTTCTCAATTTCAAAAAGTTCATTGGTATCGTTAAAATTGTTCTTGCCCGATTATCCAAATTATGAATTGACAGTAAACATGCAGTGCTAAATTGTTTTAACCCCTTACAGCTGCTCTCAATGTTTTGAAGGAAGTTTAACTTTTCTTTACATCCCAAGCATGTCGACACACATTCACATTGCAATGCCTACTTACATCAGCAGTTGAACTGAAACTAAAAAATAGTAACGGTCATACAATTTGCCAATAAAAAACCAAAATCAACATGAGCAATTCCAAATGTCAAGCGAGAAAATGTAACATGAAAAATGTATGTCATACGATGCAAATTGTATAAATACGCTTATATAAATAAATAAACGTACAATGAGAAATAATAATATAGCAATGTAGAGAGGAAGAAAACTAACAAGTTGAATGAGCAGACGTGTGAGGAGTGGGGCGGGAAGATCAAGAAAGATGGTGGCGTTTTCTTTCTTCAAATGCTTTATGAAGCCATCGTAATGACTTATTTGAATCATGTCATTTTTGTTGTTGCTGCTGATGTTGTTCAGGTTGTTGTTGTTGTTGTCTTTGATAATGTTGTTGATATTATTGTTGATACTTTCATGTGTGATGTTGTTTCTGTCGGGCGTGTCAGCGGTTTTATTAATTTGGGCGGGATTTGGGCTTTCTTCTACATGTGACACTTTATTAACTTTATTGTTGTTATTATGCATGTTTTTCATAATGCTATCGTCGTCGTCGTCGTTGTTATTGTGGTTTTTGTTGTTGTTGTTCTGCATGCTGACAAATAACATCCTTCCATTTGTCTTAACATCCGTTCCGTGCAGCTGGTCCATTAGTTGCTGCAAGCGCTCCAATCCTGTGGTTGGTGGAGGTGGTGGTTGTCATTTCGGTGTTGTTGTTTGTAGTGGTACCATTAAGTTTAGTTGTTGTGTTGTGGTTATGTCGTTGTTGCTGTTAAGTGAGTGGTTGTTGTGATTGTTGCTGCTGGTTAGTAGCTGCTGTTTATTATTAGCTGCCGTTTAGTATCTGCTACTTATGCAATGTAGATGGTTGTTGTTTTGTTGTTGTTGGTGGTGTTACCTTACTTTTGTTGTAGATTTTGTAATTATGGTAGTTGTTATTTTTTAGTTATCCTTTTATTTATACTATCTGTTGTTCGGAGTGTTGCCGACTTGTGAAACAACATGGGCGGGATGTTATAAAGAGACAAAAGTTGTTGCACGCAAATTTCATTAACTCTCACTTGTTTGTGCTGCAATAAGTGGCGGATAAATTATTTATTCACACTGCGTATGCAATGGTTTCATTATTTTGTCATTTTTGGCTCAAATTAACAAAAAACTTCACAAATATTTCAAGTTTTTTGTGGTAAAATAAAACTAAAAATTATCAGCAACTGCAAATTTCTTCATAATATTTAGGGTAAAAAAGAAATTATCTAATTCATTGGAGAAAAACTGTCCAACTATACTTGAAATCACCTCTTACACTTGTTTATTCTCGGATGAATTTATTCCACACTTAAAATGTTGAAGACCACCCAACTAACAATATATATTTTCGTTTAGACATCATTTTCATAGACCTAGACTGTTATCCTATGCAAAAATCAACATGCGAACATGCTGCAAAATTATCTCAGTAATTGCTGTCCATGGAAAAAGGATTTCAAGCTTTAGAAAATATTAAAAGTTGTTAATGTTTATTGATGTCACTAACAAATTGTTACTTGTGTGGGATTGCTGTTACGACGGGGTTAATGTTTTTCATGTTTTTGTTGTTGTTTCTGTTGCTGATGTGCGTGTGTTGTTGTTGTTAAATATTAAAGTGTGTATGTAGATGTTTTTTTGCAGCAAATTTTTTGTGGTAAGATTTTTGGAAAAAATTGTTATTGTCTTTTTTGTGGGTTCGTGTTCGTGTTTGTTATTGATGTTGTTGTTGTTATTGTTGTTGGTTGTTATGTAGTTATGCGGTTTTGATTGCTGTGCTGTTGTTGTGTTGCTATGTGATTCTTATCTATCAAATTGTTCAACCTTTTTAGTTTTTTTTTTATTTATAATGAAGTAAATGATTTTGCTACTATACTACAAATAATTTTTTCATTTATTTTTCTCTATGGTGACAATTGCTGGGTTAGTTTTATGGCCGATATAGTTTTGAAAATGCAAGTCTCGTCATAATGCTTTCATAAATCATGTTTGTTTGCAGTTGCGACAATGTTTTTTTTTGCAAAAAAAAAACATTTGGGTGAACGTTTTTTAGGGTAAAAAAAAATTTTGTATTTTTTAATTTTTTTTTATAATTGTTTCCATCACAGATTCGTTTTGCGGCTAGCGCATGTGTTGCTCGCATGTTGGATAATTTAGAAAATAATGTTCGGTTTTCGCTCTTGTCACTCTTGTTTCTACTGACTGGTTCTTTACATCTGTTGTTTAGCCAGGCCTAATACCATCACTGATGTTGAATTATGTTTCAAATATTGGTTACAACAATGATGGTGGTGATGTTGATGAAGATTGTGGTGACGATGATGATGAAGATGATGATAGCTGCGATAGTGATGGCACTGATGATGATGATGATAATGTTGATGTTGATGATGAAGACGATGAGAGTCGTGATAATGATGACAGTGGAGGAGAAGAAGAAGATGATGATGACGACGACGATGACGATGATAACGACGATGAAATAGATATGGATATAGCAACAACAAAATAATGTCGGGTCGCCTGGCAATTTATATTGCAACAGCCTGAGGTGGTTTTTATTAGATGATAACAAAATTCAAGCATTTTTTGTAAACATAGTGGAGTGGAGTCTTGTTAAATTGCTGTTACGTAAAAATTTTGCATTTTTTAAAAATTTATTTTTTTTTAAATATACTTTTTATTTTTACAAATCATTCAAGTTATGAAACTTTCACTACCTACGACTTTGAACATCTTCTACAAAGAAATAAAAATTATTTGACATAAATGACAGGCCAATGATGTCACACAGACGTTTACCATAAGTTATTACCTTTTTATATATAATTATTTTAATGATGATGACGCCATCGTTGAATAACTTTCTGACATTTATTAACATTAAAACATTGATTCATCAAAGTAGTCATTACCATAGGCTTTAGCAATTATGATGATGTTGATGATGATGATAATGATGATGATGATGATGATCACGATGAAATAGATATCTATCAAGTGTTAGTAACGACATCATCAGCATCATCATCATTATCGTCAACATCGTCATCACCACTACCACTATCTGATGATAATTCCTCATTGCCTTCATCATCATCATTCTTCCTGACATCATCACCCTCACCTTTACACAGCCATGGTGATTAAGTCGCCAAAGTTTTTTCCACCATTATTCAATTTATCTTCCAGGGTATCAATTTCACATCTCCCCCATCATCATCATCATCATCATCGTCGTCGTCGTCGTCGTCGTCATCATCAATATCATCGTCAGCATATAGTATCTTCGTCTTTATCATCATCCTCATCATCTTTATCATCATCATCAACAACAACATCATCGTCAGCATATTAGTATCATCATCTTTATCATCATCAGTAACATCATCATCGTTATTTATACACTATCATCATGGTACTCAACAACCAATCATCAACGAACTCACTGCAGCTGCCAACAACGACATCATCCTTCCTCATCGTCACTCATCATCCACTCATTAAACACACACACGTACACACGCAAGCACACACACACACAGACACACACACACACACACACACACACACACATATATATATATATATATATATATATATATATAAATTATATATATATATATAATATAATAGATATAATATAATATATCTGTAACGATATCTTCATTATTTTTTGAGGAACTGTCTTCAATATTAGAATTTGTAACATCACTATGTGATAAGGTAATTTTATTGGGTGATCTCAATATACATGTTGAGAAAAGTGATTGTGGTCACACTATCCGCCTTAATAATTTATTTGATCTGTTTCTAATGCGTAATGTCATAAATGAGCCTACGCATAATTTAGGAGGTATACTAGACCTCAACGTGTCTGGTTATCAAATGTCGGTTAATGATATCAAGATATAGCCGAGTGGGGTACACTCGGATCATAGTTTGATAACGGCGTGTTTGCCTATATCACGTCCGCTTTCTCGTAAGATGAAAAAATCAGTGCGCTCTTGGAATCGAATTGATAAAAATAAATTGATTTCATTAATTCAAGAATCACCAATTGTTAAATTTTGTGATATTATTGATGCAAATGAAGCTGCTGAGCTATTTAGTAATGAATTATTAAAAATTGCTGATGCCGTTGCACCGATTCATATGGTTGAAACAAAAATTGTGGCGACTGCACCTTGGTATGATGGTGAGTGTCGTAAGATAGGGCGTGATTGTCGAAGGGCAGAAAGAAAATATAGATTACATTATAGAATGGGGGCCAAAAAATTGTGGGTTGAATCATTTAGGTTAAAAAACAACCATTTCAGGGAGAAAAAAGAAAATTATTGGAAAAAATTGGTTGATGAAAATGCTAATGATCCTAAAAAGTTATGGAGAATTTTAAATAAAATTTTATGTAAAGAGTCATCAAATGATTGTACTATGACCCATACAGCTAACGATTTTGTAGAATTTTTTATTAAAAAAATTGAAGGGATAAAAAACAATATATCTGTAGCTGGAGAGCCTGCTATAAAGTGTAGGTCTAATGTTGACATAAAATTTTGTGAATTTTCGCGGGTATCGCAGTCTGAAGTTAAAACCTTTGTAATTAGTTCTCCGTCAACCTCTTGTATGATTGATTGTATGCCTGCTAATATTTTTAAACAATATATAGATTATTTTTTGCCCTATTTTACGGAATTTAATTAATTTGTGTCTATCAACAGGCACATTTCCAGCTGTTTATAGGCATGCAATTATTATTCCTCTTCAGAAGCATGCGTCTTTAGGCATGAATGAACTTAAAAGTTTTCGACCTGTCTCGAATTTAACTTTTATTTCGAAGGTTTTGGAAAGAATTGTTCATAAACAATTTTTAAAGTATTTAAATGATAATAACTTTTTTCCAAATAATCAATCTGGTTTCAGACGCTTTCATTCGACGGTTACAGGTATTGTCGGAACTTTTTGAGGCTTCTGATCGCAATCAGGTCTCTCTTCTGACTCTACTTGATATGAGTGCCGCATTTGACTGTGTGAATTATGATACACTGTTACGTCGATTATGTTTAAGTTACGGTGTCTGTGACTTAGCTTTGGAATTTTTCAAATCTTATTTGTGCAAACGTACCCAGCAGGTTTATTATAATAATTCTTGGTCAAACACAATTGATGTTTTGTCTGGGGTTCCCCAGGGGTCTGTCTTAGGCCCGCTTCTTTTTACGTTATATACAGCCGATATTATGTATCTCATTGATGAATTTTCTTTAAAGGGTTTTGCTTATGCAGATGATGTTCAGATAATTGCAAGTGCGGCGACTGGGGAGTTTGATTTTCTGATTGAAAGAATGTTGGATTGTTTGGGTGCATTGGATAGGTGGATGGGTTTGAATGGTATAAAATTGAATCGGGGAAAAACTCAGCTGGTACCAGTTGGAACTTGGCGGCAAACCTCTAGGATTAACGTTGATTTTGTGAAAATAAGTGACATGATTATTGATTTTTGAAAAATGGCTACAGTTTTGGGTTTTAAAATAGATAAAAATCTATGTTTGGGTGAACATATAAAGGTTTTGGTAAAATCTTGTTCATTTCAATTGCGGCAATTGTATCTGATTACTCTGATTCAT